CCTAAGTGGCACATTCTGGACACCTCAACACGTGCATGTGCGTGCACACACACACACACACACACACACACACACACACACACACACAGAAAGCCTTGGGCAAAATGCCTCCTATTTTGGAGGAAGTGTCTTCCAGGTCTTATGACTCTTCTTGGCTTAAAAACATCACCACAGGGGCACCTGGGTGGCTCAGTCGGTTAAGTGTCTGCCTTTGGCTCAGCTCCTGATCCCAGGGGCCTAGGATCGAGCCCCGCATTGGGCTCTTTACCCAGTGGGGAGTCTCCTCCTTCCCCCTCCTGCTTGTGCTCTCTCTTTTTCAAAAAAATACATAAAATCTTAAAACAAAACCAAACAAAACACCACGTCAGAGTTAAGGTTTGCCAGGAGGATAGACTGAATGTCCTGCCTGCAGCTCAGCATAGCCACATCACCTTCAGAGGTGGCAGTGATGTATGTACCTCTCTGGCCCACTGAGGAAGGGTATCATGTAGGGGGAACCATCTGCTCTGTGTCTCCTCTTTCTTGGAAAAGAGACTGGTGGGATGCCTCGGTGCTCAGCAGTTGGGCATCTGCCTTCAGCTCAGGGCGTGATCCTGGAGTCCCAGGATAGAGTCCCACATCAGGCTCCCCACAGGGAGCCTACTCCTCCCTCTGCCTTTCTCTCTCTGTGCCTCTCATGAATAAATAAATAAGATCTTTAAAAAGAGAGAGAGACTGGTAATAATGACAATTGAGCCTTTTGATTTATTGGTCCTTTTATCCCATTTCCACAAATTTTATCTTTCAAATAACCTGGGAGCACTTACCATGAGTTCTCGTTGAAAAAAAAAAAAAATCCATGGGCTTCCAAATTAAAAAAAAAAAATGACTCGCATTTCTGTTCTCAAAGTTTTAGTATTCTGTGCTGTGAATACTGTGAATTCAGGCGAGGCCAGTGCTCATTTTATCTCTCCAAAGCTCCGTTTTGAGAGGCATGGGCCTCTACAATCCAGGACTTGAACTTGAATCATCCTTATATGCTCTCATGGTTCCCAGGACACTTTGAGAATACAATCTGTGGCTTAGAATATAAACTCCACATAAAGATAGGGATTTGCTTTGGTGCCTGTTCCTGTCCTTCAAAGGCCTACATTTCATAGGCCTGTCATCAACATTTGTTGAAAGGATGGGGCACCTGGGTGGTTCAGTTAGTTGAGCTTCCAACTGTTGATTTTGGCTCAGGTCTTGATCTCGGCTCAGGTCTCCATCTTAGGGTTGTGAGATTGAGCCCCGAGTCAGGCTCCATGCTGGGTGCAGAGCCTGCTTACGATTCTCTCTCTCTCCTTCTGTTCCTCCACCCCCTCTAGAAACAATAACAACAACAACAATGAAAACCTAAAAAACTAAACAAAATCCCAAAAAAAAAACACATTTGTTGAAAGCTTAAATAAGTGAAACCCCCACTTTCCCTACACAGACTATAGTTTGCCAGGTTTCAGGGGTGACTTACCTGCTGGGCTCTTCTTGGCCATTCTTGATGTCATGGCCCTATATGACAGCAAAAGGTTGGGCACAGGAACCAAACAGGGCTCTCGGCTGTTCCATGGAGTCTTTTGACTAAAGGAGGATCAGGATTATCTCCATTCCCTGAAACCTTGTGCACTGGGATCTCAGATGACTGGTCATGGCCATGTTGACTCAACTTTTACTTCCTGGCTCCCAATTCCCCTGTTAACATTATTGTTCTTTTCTTTTTCCCTAAGGGCACTGGTTGTTGCTTCTTGCTCTTCCTCCTTCTTTGTTAGCATGATTCAGAGGGAGAGTTTGTCACCCTTGAGATCCTCTCTGCAGCAGCATTTTGCGGTCAATGCCTTCAGTACCTGCTGGGCTCCAGGTGAAGCCTGGTTCTCTTCTATTGGTTCAGTAATATCTTTCTGTGTGTTCTCTGCAAATGTTTTTTCACTCCTGTCACTTATGCAGATGCTTTTTCTCATTCCTCTTGATTTGTGGTTAAATAGGCTCTATCTATGCTCATGACCCTGAGATCAAGAGTCTCATGCTCTACCCACTGAGCTAGTCAGGTGCCCCCAAAGTACACATGTGGTGCCACAACTTCTCTCCACATTACCAAATACTCTTTCCTGAAAATTGTTACTTTGAGGGCACCTGGGTGGCTCAGTTGGTTAAGCATCTGCCTTTGGCTCAGGTCATGATCCTGGGATTCTGGGATCCTGGGATCCTGGGATCCTGGGGTCAAGCCCCATATCAGGCTTCCTGCTCAGTGAGAGTAGAGAGCCTGCTTCTCCCTCTCCCTCTGCCCCCTCCCCCACTTGTGCTGTCTCTCTCCCTCTCTCTTTCTCTCAAATAAATAAATAAAATCTTTTAAAAATAAATAAATACATTGTTATTTTGAGATAATCATAGTTTAAAACATGCAGCCTTAGGAAATAATAAGAGAGATTCCTTATACACTGCTCAGTTCCCCCCAGTGGTTACATCTTGCAAACTATAGAGTAAGATCACCACCATGATATTAACATTGATACAATCCACCAATTTTATTCAGATTTCCCCAGTTTCATTATAGTCTTTTTGTGTGTGTGTTTAGTTTAGTTTTGTACAATTTTGTGTGTGTGTGTGTGTATAGTTTTGTCACCTGTATCCACAAACCACGGTCATATTTGAATGTTCCAACAGTACAGAGACCTCTCATTGCCCTTTTATAACCAAACCCTCCTTCTTCTTGCCCTACCCCTGTTCTTAATTCTTGGGAATCACTGATCTGTCCTCACTTCTAAAATTTTGTCATTTCAAAATGTTATATAAGTGGACTCATACAGAATGGAACCTTATGAGATTGCTCCTCCCTCCTCTAGCATAATTCCTTGGAGATTCACCCAAGTTCTTACATGTATCAATGGTTTGTTCCTTTTTATTGCTGGGCAGTATTCCATGGTATAGCCATACCTCAGATCGTTTAACCATTCACCTACTGAAGGTCATCTGGGTTGGTTCCAGTTTTTAATATTACACAACAAGCTCATATGAACATTTGTGTACAGCCTTTATGGGAACCTGTTTTCCTATGTCTAAGATAAACGCCCAGGGACCGAATTGCTTGGTTTTATGGTGGTAGCATCTTCAGTTGTTGTTGTCATTTTAGACTAATTTTTAAAAAGTAATCTCTAGGGGATCCCTGGGTGGCTCAGTGGTTTAGCGCCTGCCTTTGGCCCAAGGCGTGATTCTGGGGTCCCGAGATCAAGTCCTGCATCGGGCTCCCTGCATGGAGCCTGCTTCTCCCTCTGCTTGTGTTTCTGCCTCTGTGTGTGTGTGTGTGTGTGTGTGTGTGTGATGAATAAACAAATAAAATCTTAAAAAAATGTTATCTCTATACCCAACATGTGGCTCGAACTCACAACCCTGAGATCAAGAGTTGCAAGCACTATGGACTGAGCCAGCCAGGCACCCCCATGCTGCTGTTGTTGTTGTTTTTAAATATTTGATTTATTTATTCATGAGAGACACAGAGAGAGGCAGAGGGAGAAGCAGGCTCCCCTTGGAGAGCCCAATATGGGGCTCAATCCTGGGATCTGGGATTATGACCTGAGCTAAATGTTGGTAGCTAAAGGTAGCTAAAAGACGCTCAAACACTGAGCCACCAAAGTGCCCCTCCATTTTGTTGTTTCTAATTGAGAAACTTGCCAAACTGTTTCCTAGAGTGGCTGTACCAGTTTACATTCCCACCAGCAATATATGAGAGATCCACTTTCTTTGCATAATGCTGTTCTCCACCACCCCCCTATATATATAATGGATAGTAGTGAGATTCATTCAGTCATTTGTTTAATAAATACCTATTGCTAACCAACATGTTTCAGGCAGTGTGATAGGATCTGGAACAAGATACACATAACCCATATCCCACATAATTTACAATTCAGTGTTATTATAGGCATATAAATACCAATCAAAATATAGCATCACTGCTATGTTGAAGGAAGTACAGAATGCTATGAAAGCACATAGAAATTACACAAGAGCCTCTGAGAAATGACTTTCTCATTGCACTTAATCATTCTTGTTGGAGCATTAAGGAGGATTACTTGGTTTGGGATTGGGTAAATAGATTTCATCAGAGCCCTTAAAAACTTGCTTTTCTTGGTAGTCCAATCCAATTAATACTGGAGAGAATTTTTTTTTGAGAGAATCTTTAAACTCCATTTTCTGATATGGGTTTGCAGGTTTGAAAGAGAGAGTTTTTGTTTTTTTTCTGTTTTTAGCTAAATTTGTGTGTGGGTGTTCTTTGACATGATCATCTCTTGGTCAACAGGTCCTTCAGCTGGAGATGCCACCTTGATGTAAGAATAATACTAACATAGTGACCATTTTTTTAGAAGATTTTATTTATTTATTCATGAAAGACACACAGAGAGAGGCAGAGACATAGGCAGAGAGAGAGTACTTTACTTTTGTTTCAATAGTTACCTTCCAATGGGGCACCTGGGTCGCTCAATGGTTGAGCATCTGCCTTTGGTTCAGGTCATGATCCCAGGGTCCTGGGATTGAGTCCCACATTGGGCTCCCCACAGGGAGCCTGCTTCTCTCTCTGCCTATGTCTCTGCCTCTCTCTGTGTGTCTCTCATTGCTGGAGAAATAAAATCTTAAAAAAAGTACCTTCCAGGTTTGTTCCGTTATTGCCTTACCTTTGTTTCTTCTCTGTTTAAATCACATGATTGTATACCTACTAGTGAAAAATCCAGAGAACTCATTTGTCACTTTGATTTCATCTTTTTGTTTCATACTATATACCCATTTTCAAACATAGCATTATAGCAGGGGGTCATCTGTCAGGGACTATATTATCTCATGATGGGTGGGAGGATTGATCTATGTGATAAATAAATGTAATACTTTAGGGATGAGTGGAAATATTAGGATGTAATCAGCTGATGACTCAACCATATTACAAAGAAGAGCCCTTAGCACAATCCTGAGTGTCCCCTGAGTTCCAGCTTTGACGCATGGAAAGTATTAAATCTAAAGATGTCATTGGGAAGGGTGCCTGGCTGGCTCAGTCAGTAGAGCATGTGACTCTTGATCTCGGTGTTGTAAGTTTGAGCCCCACATTGGGTGTAGAGATGACTTAAAAATAAAAGCTTAAGAAAATAAATGAATAAAGATGTCATTGGGAACAGTTTGAATTTTTTTCTTATGAGGAATTAGTATACAGAATTTATTGTGGAAGAATCCTGAGGCTGAATCTCTCTCTTCTTACATTTGGCAACAGAATCTTGTTGGCAATTTGAGGCTTCTATGCCCAAAATCTAGTTAGAGTCCACTAAGGCATGAAGATTAACAATTGGGACATGGCATTTCTATGGTGAGATAGAAAGATTAAAATATAAAGAGAAGGCTTTTTTTAAAATTTTTTAAAAAATATTTTAGTTATTTATTTGAGAGAGAGACAGAACATGAGTGGAGGACAGAGAGAGAGGGAAAAACAGATAGTTTGCTGAGCAGGGAGCCCAAGTGGAGCTTGATCCCAGGACCCTGAGATCATGACCTGAGCTGAAGGCAGATGCTTAACTGACTGAGCCACACAGGTGCCCCAAAGAGAAGCCTTTAAAAGAGCAACAAAGACACCTTTATATCTGAATTCAAAATTACCAAGTAATGGTATAAAGAGAGTGATAACCAAATAGCATGAGTTGGGAAAAATCTCTTCACTATGCTTGTGAGAGAAACTTTGATAATTCAAAAGGACCTCCTGAGATAACTGAGAAATAGAATAGAAAAAAAAAGTTTTCTGAGATGTCATGTTTTAGATCTGCCTGGTAGAAGAGGGGAGCAGGAAATGATTTCTAAGGTCTCTCTAAAGATAGCATGACCACATGGGAGTGCTTTTTGTGTTTCAGGAATTGAGAATTGAGACCCTGGGAATTTGAAGGCTTCTTTGACCCCAGAGAACTCCGTAAAGAGACCTGCCTCCTCTATGAAATCCAGTGGGGCACAAGCCATAAGACCTGGCGAAACTCAGGCAGAAACACCACCAACCATGTGGAAATCAATTTTATAGAAAAGTTTACTGCAGAAAGACAGTATTGCCCATCCATTCGCTGCTCCATCCCCTGGTTCCTGTCCTGGAGTCCCTGTTGGGAATGCTCCAATGCTATTAGGGGATTTTTGAGTCAACACCCTAGTGTGACTCTGGTTATTGATGTGGCCCGGCTTTTCTGGCACACGGATCCACAAAACCGGCAAGGACTCAGGGATCTCATTAATAGTGGTGTGACTATCCAGATTATGACAGTCCCAGGTAAACACAATAAACAAAGAGTCTTGGGTGTTGATGAGAGACTGTGGTACTGGCATGTTTCAAGGCCAGGAGCTTGATTATCCCACTCTGGAAGTCTCAGAAGTAAAAGTCCAAAATAACATGAGAAAGGACCAGGTCTGATCTTCGTAATAAGGAAAATATCAAAAAGAGGACTCCTTTCTCCATTCCTGCCACTATAACCTCTCAGCTGTCTTCAAATAAACTACATTGTCCTATTTTAGGGATTCTGGGGGAAGTTTAGCCTATATCCAACAGCAAATAGACTACTGGGCTTTATCTAAACTATATAAGTAAAAAAAAAACTTTATAAGTGAGGCTCTCTTAAAGTAACTTTCTGCTGTATTTGTTGAATGAACCAAGATTCATGTTTCCTTAGAGTATGATCACTGCTGGAGGAATTTTGTCAACTACCCACCTGGGAAAGAAGATCACTGGCCAAGATACCCTGTTCTATGGATGAAGCTATATGCACTGGAACTTCACTGCATAATTCTAGTAAGTTACTTTAAGGGACGAGATTCTGATGCCAAAAGAAGCATCCTTCTTCAAACTTCTTTTCTGATAAACTGACATGTACACTCACCATCTGTCATTTATATTGAAATCTGGTTATTTAACTACTTGATCCATCTGAAAAAAATGTGAGAATAAAATGATCTCTTTGTAGAAAGTAAGTGGGAGAAGGAAAAGGATAAACTGGTCTGTGATATATGTGGACTCCATGTTAATTTGATATTACTATTATCATTTTTTAATTATCATTATTTTTAAAAATGATTTTATTTATTTGTGAGAGACAGAGAGAGAGGAGAGGCAGAGACACAGGCAGAAGGAGAAGTAGGCTCCATGCAGGGAGCTGGATGTGGGACTCAGTCCGTGACTCCAGGATCACACCGTGGGCTGAAGGCAGGTGCTAAACCGCTGAGCCACCCAGGGATCCCTACTATTATCATTATTATTACAACACTTACTGGCTTTACAGAATGGCAGATATTCTCCTTTCCTATATTGGTGTGTGTCATCCTATTGAAGAAATGGAGGTGTCTCATTTGTATTCTCTTCAAAGTTGTTCAATAATCTTTCAATTAATTTTTTTTTCAGATTTTATTTATTTATTAATGAGAGACATACAGAGAGAGGCAGAGAGAGAAGCAGGCTCCATGCAGGGAGCCCGATGTGGGACTCGATCCCAGGACTCAGGGGTCACGCCCTGAGCCAAAGGCAGGCGCTAAACCACTGAACCACCCAGGGATCCCCTCAACTAATGTTTTAAAATGTTTGTGGTAGGGGCGTTTGGGTGGCTTAGTTGGTTAAGTGGCCAACTTTTTTTTTAAGGTTTTATTTATTTATTCTTGTGAGAGACACAAGAGAGAGGCAGAGACATAAGCAGAGGGAGAAGCAGGCTCCCTGTGGAGAGCCCGATGTGGGACTCTATCCCAGGACCTGGGTTCATACCCTGAGTCAGAGGCAGATGCTCAACCGCTGAGCTACCCAGACATCCCAAGCAGTCAGCTCTTGATTTTGACTTGGATCAGGATCTTGGGGTCCTGGGATCCAGCCTCCCATCAGGCTCTACACTCAGTAGGGAGTCTACTTGAAGATTCTCTCTCTCCTCTGCCACTCCCCCCCACCCCCCGCTTCAACTTTTCTCTTTCTCTCAGATAAATAAATACATCTTAAAAAAAATAAAATAAGAGAAAATAAAACAAAATGTTTGTGGTAATAATAGTATCAAGAAAAATATTATTCTAACTTTTTTTCTTCCAGAATCTCCCTCCCTGTTTAAAGATTTCAAGAAGAAATCAGCATCAGCTTACATTGTTTAGACTTACTCTTCAAGACTGCCATTACCAAACAATTCCACCCCCTATCCTTTTAGATATGGGGTTGATACAACCTCTTGTGACTTGGAGATGAATAGAGTGGTTCCTTGCATGTCACTGTTTCTGTAGCAGGCACTGAAAACCCATGGAAGAGTGAATGCTTTTGGAATGTAGAAATTTTCAGTTTGTGATTCTATACATCAAAAATGAATCATCCAAAAAAGAAATTAAAAAAAAAATCCTAGTCACAATACCATCAAAAATAATGAAATACCTCGGAATAAATTTAACAAAGGAAGTGAAAGGTTTGTACACTGCAAAACCCAGGACATTGATGGAAGACATTGCAGAACATGCAAATACATGAAAAGATAACCCATGTTTATGGGTCAGTAGAATTAATATTATTAAAATTTCCATACTACCCAAAGTGATCTGTAGAATCAATGCAATCTGTATCAAGATTCTAATGGTATTTTTTTTTACAGAAATAGAAAAACAATTCTAAATTTCATATGAAACTAAAAAAGAGGGATGCCTTGGTAGCTCAGCATTTGGGCATCTGCCTTTGGTCAGGGCCTGATCCTGGGATCAGGGATCAAGTCCCCCATCGGGCTCCCTGTGTGAAGACTGTTTCTCCCTTTGCCTGTGTCTCTGCCTCTCTCTGTGTGTGTCTCTATGAATAAAATAAATAAATAATCTTAAAAAATAAAAATGAAAAGCTTCTGCATAGCCAAAGAAACAACCAGTAAAATGAAAAGGCAACCTATGGGATGGGAGAAAATATTTGCAAACTACATATCTGATGAGGGGCAAGTATTCAAAATATATAATGAACTCATACAACTCAAGAGCAAAAGAACTAAACAATCTGATTTTAAAATGGGCAAAGACCTGAATAGATATTTTTCCAAAGAAGATATTCAAATGGCCAACACCTATGTGAAAAGTTGTACAACATTACTAATAATCAGGGAAATGCAAAACTACAGTGAAATATCACTTCACACCTGTTAGAATTTCTATCATCAAAAACATAAATGATGGGCAGCCTGGGGGCCCAACCAGTAAAACTTCTGCCTTTGGCCAGGTCATGATCCCAGGGTCATGGGATCAAGCCCTGCATCAGGCTCCCAGCTCAGTGGAAAGTCTGCTTCTCCCTCTCCCTCTTCTTCCTTGCTCATGCTCTTTCTCTCTCCTCTCTCAATAAATAAATAATATGTTAAAAAATAATAAGTGATAACAAATGTTAGTGAGATTGTGGAGAAAAAGAGAACAGTTGTACACTGTTGGTGGGAATGTAAATTGATAGAGCCACCTTGGAAAACAGTATGGAAGTTTCTCAAAAAACTTAAAAATAGAAATACAATGGGGTGCCTGAGTGTCTCAGTTGGTTGAGCATCCAATTCTTGATCACAGGTCTTGATCTCAGGGTCATGAGTTGGGTGTGGTGCCTACTTAAAAGAAAAAAGAACTACAATATGATTCAACAATGTTTTTCCTGAGTATATATCTGAGGGAAAGAAAATCGCTATCTTGGGGTTCCTGGGTGGCTCAGTAGGTTAAGCATCTGCCTTTGGCTCAGGTCATGATCCCAAGGTCCAGGGATTAAGCCCTGAGTCAGGCTCACTGCTCAGTGGGGAGTCTACTTCTCCCTCTCCCTCTGCCTGATGCTCCCCAACCCCCACTGTATTCTCTCTCTCTCTGAAATAAATAAAATCTTAAAAAAAAAGAAATCACTGTCTCAAGATATTTGTACCCAATGCTCATTGCAACATTGTTTATAATAGTGAAGACATGGAAACAACCTATGTGTCCATCAATAGGAATGAATAAAGAAAATGTGATGTATATTATATACATACCCACACATATACATATATAGATGTGTGTATACACACACAAAGATTATACAGCCATAAAAAGGAGGTAATTCTGCTATTTGTGACAACGTGGATGAAACTTAAGGGAATTATGCTATTTGAAATAGAAAAGACAGATACTATATGATCTCAGTTATGTGTGGAATCTAAAAAATCCAAATTCATAGAAACAGAGAAGATTAGTGTTGGACAGGTAGGGATGAAGGTAGTCAAAGGGTACAAACTTCCAGTTTTAAGATAAATAAGTTCTGGGGATGTAATGTACCACATGGTGATTATATTTAACAATACTGTATTGTATACTTGAAGTTTGCTAGAGAGTGGATCTTAAATGCTCTTACCACACAGTCACACACACACATACACACACACACACACACACACACACACACCTGTAACTATGTGAGGTGATGGATGTGTTTACTCACTTTATTGTAGTAATCATTTTGCAATATATATTATATCAAATCACTGTGTTGTACCCTTAAACTTAAACAATATTGTATATTAACTATGTCCCAATAATGCTAGAGGAAAAAAAGAGATTAAAAAATATTTAAAAATTTTAGCAAACAGTAGTGTCATGGAGCATGTCATCTACTGCCGTCTTATAAATTATTCCAGTCCATTGTGGCTTTAAGACAACAGTAAATATTTATTGTGTCACGGCCGGAGCGAGAAGGTCCGGATTCAGGAACCGAGGGCAAGGGGATGAGAAAGAAACAAGAGACTAAGAGTTCATGGGATAGGAGGTTCCATGCAGCTGATGGCCACAATGGGCAAGCTTTATTTTTGCATGTAGAGTTTATATAGCGTCCGTAAGCAGGCGGCCTATTTCTTTAAGGAGAAGTACGTCTCGCGCACAAACATACACTTGTTTTTAAAACTGACACCTGTTACTTGTTTAAGCAATAGAGCAGGAAGGCCACCTTTAGACTAAAACAGTGAGGTTTGTTTATTAAGTAACGTCTGCCAAGGCGGTCATGTGTCAGGCCACCTCCTTGCTTACTTTATGGGAACTTGTCTCGATGACATTTTAAAGGAGAAGCAAATATGTACTTTTACTTCCATAAGGGGGAAGAGCTAGGTGCAGTCCCAGCGGGTTGGCCAGGTACGACAAGGAGCCTTTGCTCAACCTGGAACCTTGCCTCAGCACCGCAGGATTGACCGCTTCCGACAACAGTCCCTTCATGCTTCCCTGCTGGTGGTGACTCTCAACCCTGAGCAGTGCCACCCTTCATCCCGGAAAAGGAGGGCAGCCATCCTTTTCCCTAAGGCTTCTTGCCAGAACCTCTGCCATCGTCACCAGCTATTCATCAACTTCCAGGACTTAGGTTGGCACAAGTGGATTATTGCTCCCAAAGGGTTCATGGCAAACTACTGCCATGGAGATTGTCCTTTCTCACTGACCACCTCCTCAACAGCTCCAATTATGCGTTCATGCAAGCCCTGATGCATGCAGTTGACCTGAGATCCCCAGGCTGTCTGTATCCCCACCAAGCTGTCCCCCGGGAGATGCTCTATCAGGACAATGATGACAATGTCATTTTACGACATTATGAAGACATGGTGGAAGACGAATGTGGATGTGGGTAGGCTGTTAGAAAAATAAGGAGTGCCCTTACAGTAAATCTAATAAAATTAGAAACTTGGTTTATGACTTCTTGGATTTAAAATAACAATATATTTATGTTTAAAATTTGTCTTCTTGGAAAATCCATCATGATTAATGATCTCCCTAATTACATACACACACATGAACACACATTCAGCCCTAATGATCTGTCATGATGTAAATAGGGAGATATTAAGTATAATTTATGCTAATAAATTAGAAACTGTCTTCCTAGAAAAAAAATAACAGCTTCATGATGCACTTGACAGTATGTTAGACTCTAGATAGGGAGACTGGCATTTATTGGTGGCCTATTATGGGCAGGCATTATCCTGTGTATTACCTATAAACATCATTATAGGATGTTTCTTGAGATAGGCCTTATTATTTATACTTCATAGATATTGAAGGTGAATAACAAATTTCCCTAAAGTCATCAACTTTTATAGATGGCAGATCTCACAGGGTAACAATCAACTTTTTTTTTTAACAATGCCACTTTAAAAAAAATTGTTTTTATTAGCACCTGGGTAGCTCAGTTGATAAGTAGTAGACTCTTGATTTTGACTCAGGTCATGATCTCAGGATCCTGGGATTGGGCCCAGAGTCAGAATCAGGTTCCACGCTCAGGGGGAGTATACTTGAAGATTCTGTCTCCCTCTTCCTCCGCCCTCCCCCTGCTCACCTACACACACTCTCAAATAAATAAATCTTTAAAAAAATTTTTTGAGACAATACAAAATAATAAGAAAATATTATCAAAACTGTACCTGATATCTACATTTCCTTCTGGTCCTTTATTGTTATATATGATTATTTTAAAATATTTTATTTATTTATTCATGAGAGACACAGAGAGAGAGAGACAGAGGCAGGCAGCAGGCTCCTCTGAGCAGGGAGCCTGATGTGTGGACTTGAACACCGGACCCAGGATCATGCCCTTTGCCAAAGGCAGATGCTCAACTGCTGAGCCACCCAGGATCCTGGAGACCCGGATATGATTGTATATTAAAGATCACATGGTACATATAATTTTTAAAGATTTTATTTATTTATTCATGAGAGACATAACAGAGAGAGAAAATAGAGAAGACAGGCAGAGGGAGAAGCAGGCTCCATGCAGAGAGCCCAGTGTGGATATCCATCAAAGACACTAGATGATTGCACCCTGGGCCAAAGGCAGGCGCCAAACTGCTGAGCCACCCAGGGATCCCCATCCCCATTTCTTCTGTCAAATGCCTAGATAATTTGATTGGTTAAGGTTACACAGAAGCATTGGAAAATTGGAGGAACCATGAGGAAATGACCAGGAAACTGCCTGGTTGGGGTCTCTGCTGCTTTGGAAAGTGGATATTCTTGCGGAGGAGCGAGACAGTACTGACTGAAAGGGTGCTCAATCAGATCAATGTGGGGGCGAGCAAGGATGGGAAAGAGAGTAAAAGCATTAGGATTGTTCCTAGATGCCTGCCTTGCCTCTTCTAAGGTGAGAACATAATTTACCAGGAAAAAAAATCTATTTCAAACTAGCCTCAGACCTTAACATTTCTCTCTGATCCCGTTTATATTTGTCTCTGATCCAGCTTGTAACATTAATATATTTATATATACCTTAAACCACATTAAATTGTGCTTTGTAGTCCGTAAATTTAAGGGTTTTTTTTTTTTTTTTTTTTTTGTCTTTTTTAATGCTGGGTTTGCAGCTCACTGGTTGAGCATCTGCCTTTGGCTGGGTGTGTGGTCCCGGGAGTCCCAGGATCGAGTACCACATCGGGCTCCCTGCAGGGAGCCTGCTTCTCCCTCTGCCTGTGTCTCTGCCTCTCTCTGTGTCTCATTAATAAATAAAATCTTAAAAAATAATAATAAAGCTGGCATTTACCAAAGATCTTTAAAAATACAAAATACGGGCACTTTTTTTAGGACTCAGTGGTTGAGCAGCTGCCTTCAGCCTCAGGGTGTGAACCTGGGGTCCTGGGAGGAGTCCGGCATCCGGCTCCCTGCAGGGAGCCTGCTTCTCCCTCTGCCTGTCTCTCCTGGATAAATAAAATCTTTTTTAAAAATAAAAAAATGTCTTAAAATAAGCTTGTTTCAACTTAGTTTTTTCTGGCAGAGTGTAATTGGACAGAAGGGTGGACACAGAACCTTCCCTGTGAGTTATATTAGCTGACCTTCTCCCCATCCCCTCCTTTTTAAAAAGATTTTATTTACTCATGAGAGACAGAGAGAGGCAGAGACACACAGGCAGAGGGAGAAGCAGGCTCCATGCAGGGAGCCCGATGCGGGACTCCATCCCAGGTCTCCAGGATCACGCCCTGAGCTGAAGGCAGACACCCAACCGCTGAGCCACCCAGGCATCCCCAACATTCTTCTTTTAACTGCAAATAACCACAAATTTTATTGTTTCATTATTATACACATAAGGAAATAAATTAGTTCAGATTAATTGGTCCGTCACTTAGCATTGCATACTTGATTTCCTTTCCTTTTTCTTTTCCTTTTTTTTTAAGATTCTACTTAATTATTCTTGAGGGACAGAAACAGAGGGAGAAGCAGGCTCCATGCAGGAAGCCCGACGTGGGACTCGATCCTGGGTCTCCAGCATCACGCCCCCTGGCTGAAGGCAGGCATTAAACAGCTGAGCCACCCAGGGATCACTTTTATTTCCCATTTCTAATAGCAGCCTCCCCCCAATGGCTAGAGAAATTTCAGTTGTTTCCTGTCCCATTGGACTATAAAGACCCATGTTTAGTCCAATTTTTACTCACTGAGTGGTGAAATCGGGGTAGAGACAACA